GGATTAAGAAGTGTGGCCTTGTTGGATGAGGTTTGTCATTAGGGGTAGGCTTTGAGGCTTCATAAGCCCACACCAGGCCCAGTAACCCCCTCTCTGTCTACAGATCAGGATGTAAAACTCTCAGCTACTGCTCCAGTGCTATGCCTGCTTGTCACTCTGCTCCCCACCATGATTATGGACTAGCCTTCTGAAACTGTAATCAAGTCTCCAATAAAATGCTTCCTTTTATAAGTTGCCTTGGTCATGGTATCTCCTCACAGGAATAGAATAGTAACTATGACAGATTTATGCTCTACCAACTGAGGATGCATAAGATGGAAAGATAACTGGACCTAACTGCACACATTTTAGCCTGTCCTTAAATGTTTCCCAAATTTCAAAGCATGTCTCCCTCCCTCAAAACACTTCGTTCTTTCCAGTCAGTATCCATGAAAGGGCAATTTGTTAATTTTATCATTTGATTGATGGAAAGTATTATGGTAAAAGGATAATTGAAAAAGGTTAGCTTTGTGAGTTCAAGGTCAGCCTGGTCTACAGAGTGAGTTCCAGGACAGCCAGGGATATGAAGAGAAACCCTGTCTCAAAAAACAAACAAACAAACAAAAATTTTTAGGTTTATTAATTTTATGTGTTTGAATGTTTTGCCCACATGGATAGAAGTATATATACCACATGTATTCCTGGTGCCCACAGAGGTCAGAAGAGTTGGATCCCCTGGAACTAGAGTTATAGATGGTTGAGAGCTGCCATGAGGGTGCTGGCAGCTGGGTCCTCTGCAAGAGCAACAAGTGCTCTGAACAGCTGAGACACACACACACACACACACACACACACACACACACACACACACACACACACAAAACCTTTAAATTTCAAATAACTGAGTCCCTAATCTTTATTTGGGCTTAAAATTTGATCATATCTTATAAAACTTTAGAAATCACTTCAGTTCAATCCTTTTTTTTCAAGACAGGGTCTCGCTCTGTAGATCAGGCTGGCCTCGAACTCACAAAGATCTGCCTGCCTCTGCCTCCCAAGTGCTGGGATTAAAGGTGTGCACCCCACCACCACCCGGCCAGTTCAATACTTTTCATTTAAAAAATTAACTAAAACCTAGAGAGGCATGAACTTAAATGTAAGACAGTTAATTAGTTATGGAACACAAGTCTCTTGATACCTACTTTAGAATTCTTTCCACTGTGCTAATTAACAGTAGTCAGTTATAGTAACTTAAAAAAAAGAAAGAAAAGAAAGAAAGAAAGATAGATGAAGCAGTTCCACAGGTACATTTCCAAAGCTGATGGACCATTTTGTAAATTGTAGGTGAATTACATTTTAGGGAATAAAACAATCTTAAGGCAATAGGGAGTTTTTCCAATGAAATGCTGCTTTTGAAGCTCTTGAAATACAGACTAGTTTCTCATCCTGTTTAAGGAAGGCTTTATGAATTGTATTTCACCTTTTTTTTTTTTTTTTTTTTTTTTTTTTGGTTTTTCGAGACAGGGTTTCTCTGTGTAGCTTTGCGCCTCTCCTGGGACTCACTTGGTAGCCCAGGCTGGCCTCGAACTCACGGAGATCCGCCTGGCTCTGCCTCCCGAGTGCTGGGATTAAAGGCGTGCGCCACCACTGCCCGGCGTATTTCACCTTTTAACTAGAAAATTCAATCCACTTTTCTATGATCAGAAGTTTGGTAGGGTAGTGGTGGCGGCACATGCCTTTAATCCCAGCACTCAGAAAGCAGAGGCAGGTGGATCTCTTAGTTTAAGGACACCATGGTCTATAGAGCAAGTTCCAGGCCAGTCAGAACTACACAGAAAAATCCAGTCTTGAAAAAAAAAAGAAAGGAAGGAAGTTGCTGCTGGGGATGGTGATGCACACCTTTAATACTAGCACTCAGGAGGTAGAGGCAAGCAAATCTCCATGAATTTGGGGCTAACATGTCTAAAAACAGAGTTCTAGAACAGCCAGGGATACACAGAGAAACCTATCTCAAAAGAACAAAAAACAAAAACCAAACAAACCAAAAAGAAATGTGTTGAGTTTTATAAAAGAACAAAAAACAAAAACCAAACAAACCAAAAAGAAATGTGTTGAGTTTTATAAATGACCATAAGAAAACTCGACTACCACTGTATTTATGTGTGGATATAAGTCAAGATTAAAATGGAACAATCCTCATTAAGAAGTCTAAGTAATTTTAACTATTTGAAACACAGAGATTACAAGATAAAGTCCTTTGGGGTTGAACACATCTGAGCATCACTGCTTGATAGGCAGGGTAGCTGTCATTGATAGTGCCTTGAAGATACCATTTAGACCCCAAGTAGATACTCTATTAAGTCAAATGACATTTATTTCTTCTTTCAACATTTCTTTTTTGTGTGGAAAGTTATCAGTTATCAGATAGTGGCTTCCCTCTGGCTTGAGAGGCTCCTGTGCTCAAGGATGCTGTCTGGCACAATAACCAAAAGGCTTGTAAACAGTCAAGAAAGGGAGACTGGCAGTGTTGCCAACTTTAGTTTTTATAGAACAGACAGCCAATTGTGAAGGGCAAGAAGTATTTAAACATAGAGAGAAAGAGTCTTCTCTCTGGGGATTTGGTTAGAACTAAGAGATTAGAGCATTTTAGAAGAAGTTGTGGTGTGGGAGTCAAGTCTATCATCCAGCCGGCATCAGACCATCTTTACATGCATGCTAAGAGCTCATTCTCCCTAGTTATGCATGTTCGTCAAAATACAAGGGGCCAGATAGGTTTTGGAATTCTTGAGTTGGTATCAAGTTGGGCAAGGTCAGCCTTAGAGATCCAATAGCAGGTAACAGGGTCCTAGTTAATGAGACTGAATTTAAATAGAAGAAACCAGACTGCCAAAAAAAAAAAAAAATGTGGTTCAGGAAAAGAATATATTTGAAGAGTGGGACATCCTGGAGAGAGACTTAATCAAGCTCAGCATACAGAGTCTTTAATTACCAGATTTCAGGACAAGACAGATGCAGACTCGGCTCTGTGCATGTTTCTCAAACTGGGGCATGTTTAATACTAGGTGTGTTCATAGAATGTACAGTATGTATGGGAAACTATGATGCACTTTTGAATACTTAATTTTATATTACAGTGATTTATATTTTTTTTTTACAAGAAAATAAAGTTATAGTTTAAATTAGATGGTCCATTTTGGATTAATTTAAAAAAAACATTTCAAATGTTCAGATTTTAGGAGGGAATGTTGTGCTGAATTATAAAGTCACTGTTTTTCTTTGAAAAGTCTGAAAGGCAATGACAGAGAAAAGTATCATCTTTAAGAAAGACTAAACTTTTGCCATTTGGTGTGACCTTGCTCAAGTCCAAGTCTTAGCGTTGTTACAAACATTAATCATAAACAACAATTTACTGAGGTGACAGATAGACAGATGTTTAATAAGCTGACAAAGGCAGGAGTAGGGGAGAACCTGGACAGAAGTGCTTCATTTTGCCTCATATCAAAATATGTTTTCTGGCTTAGACAACTATTGAGTCTCTTAGTGAATTATTAAGTCAAATTTATTTGGGAACATGATATAGTAGAGGACATATGCCATACACCTATTCTGGGTCACAGTCTTTAAACACAGAAAATCACCCTGAAAGCTAATTTTAAAAATGAATTAACTGAGTTGGGTGGTAGTAGTGCATACCTTTAATCCCAGCATTTGGGAGGCAGAGGCAGGAGGATCTTTGTGAGTTTGAGGCTAGTCTGGTCTACAGAGTGAATTCCAGGACAGCCAATGTTACACAAAGAAACCCTGTCTAGGGACCCCTCCCCAAATAAAATAAGATAAATAAAAAAGAATTAAAAGGAAATTTAACAAAGTTCAGAATGCTATAGTCAAACATTTAGTTAAGTAGTAGGATGGATGTTTGAGCCCAAGTCATTTTACCACAATTTGCCAAAACAGGAGAATAAATGTTTCAGTAAGTGAGATTAAATAATGACTATTTGTAGGAGCTCTTGAATCCAGGAGCAACACAAAATATTTAACAGAATTGGTTACCAATGTTATATGACATGACAAGGGAAAAGTAGTCCAGAGACAGCAAGTCAACAAGGAATTTTTTATAGTACTCCAAGAATAAATTAACAGCCTTAATAAATTAAGTTAGCTATCCAAGTATTTTACACAAAAAGTCTCATTAATTTAGGCTAAAGCACAATGGAATTTGCAATAATCTAAGAAGAACTGAGAAAATATCTGAAGTATTCATTATTTCTTCCCCTTTCCCTCTGTAGTTCAGAGTGTATCAAAGTGATAGGACATTCCTCAATAACTTCCGCAGAAGGGTCATACTGAATTCTAGCTAACAGAGTACCTGAACCACAGCCAAAAACCCCCAAACTTGATGTACATGTCACCATATCAGCCAGTGAAGTAAGAAATCTCCATTTCCATTTGTTTTTGTTTTTTTTTTTTTTTTTGTTGGCTCTCCTTCACTATCCTCCTCCTCCTCTCCTTTTTACTGAACTTTAGTAAAGGCTTTTGCCAGATAATGAAGGTAGAGAGCTGGGTAAGACCCTCTAAAGGATCAGCCCAGTAACATTTGAAATCACAAGAGACTACACATACACACACACGGAGTATACAACAGGATAAAATAGGGTGAAAACTGAAATATATAGAAAGAGCCATCCTGGCAAATTAAGTCATAGTATTGAAAAGTAAGTAGAAGTCACCAGGAAGCAAGATGTGGATGACTGAGTTTTTGAAACCTGAAAGCATGAAATTGCTGTTTTTTAGGGAATGGAATGACATTTCATAGAACTGGAGGGTTGTAGGGCAAACATGGATAGAAAAAGGGTAGGAACTACATTCTAAAGTGCTACACTAAGTAAGGAACTAGAACTTTATTTTATGGATCATCATTTCCCAGTTGTGACTATGGAACCCTTTGAAATTTACAATGTAAGAAATAATAGCAATGATGTTTGAATTTTTGACTTAGTTTCTTAAAATTCCAATACTAGAGATGAAGTAAACAATCTTTTATTTTCATCTTACATTACCAAGAGACATCCAAAACCCTCCAATTTCAATGAGAACAGTGTTTTTGTGTCTTTTTACCACATATTCGTTTAATATTAGGTGTAATATTGCTAAGTCGGATCCGCATATGAGGTGCAGCATCAAGTCTTTTCCTGTATTTGGTTTTTGTTGCAGCATAATATGAAAACCCTGTTTCACACAGGTGCATTGTTGCAAAAGGAAGGAGCACACGAACAGCACGTCCTGCAACGTTCGGGTATTCATGAATTAGGCTACTCCAAAAATCATCTGAAAGTTTGAAAAAATCACTGAAAGTTTGTTTCACTTGGGAATCAGATGTTAAATCAATCAGGCTCTCATAGTCTTGTGCTACTAATGAGGCTGGTTTAACAGTTACTGTAAATGGATTTCTAACCCAAGCATTATTCTCACTTGTTATAGGAAAATATTTCAAAAGAGTAGAGTGCAAACCCCTTAGATGCTGCACAATAGCACCACAAATATCTTTATCAACTGTAGAATTAATTTCAGTCAAAAAGTCACCGAGTGTAGGAAAACAATCAAAGTTTTCTTCTTCTACAGATGAGGCCCAAAACTCCAATTTTCTTAACAATGACGAAATTTTATCAAACACTGTAAACACTGTTATATTCTTTCCTTGCACTGACAGATTAACCTCATTTAATTTAGTAAAAATGTCAGCAAGATAAGCAAGTCTTAGCAGCCAAGATGAATTTGTTAAGCAACCAGATAGTCGAAAAGCAGAATCCATAAAAACCAACAGTTCGTGCCGAAGCTCAAAAAGTCTTAAAAGAACTTTACCTCAGGAAAGCCACCTTACTTCTGTATTCAGAAGAAGTGCTGTGTGCTGAGCACCCATTTCTTCACATAAAATTTTTAGTACCCAGGATTGACGTGGTCGAGCTTTGATGTAATTGATAATGTGTACTGCTTGATCTAGCACACTTTTTAGAGATGTAGGCATTATTTTAACTGCTAATGCATGTTGATATAATAAGCAGTGACTACTGGTACTTTTTGGAGCTACATATTTTATCAAGGTGACAGCCTCAGCAATTTTCCCATCCACTGCCCTAGAAGCATCACTGCAAACATCAACACATTTTTTCCATTCAATTTCATATTTCTGCATAAAACTGTTGATGCAGTTGAATATTTCTTCACCAGTTGCATTACTCTGCAAAGATTCACATAAGAGTAGGTCCTCCTCAATAGACTTATTAAACCTATAACGAATAAACACAAGCAGCACAGCAAGTCCTGAAATATCAGCTGATTCATCTAGTTGCAGTGAAAACCCATCACAAATTTTCAGTCTACAAACAAGCTCTTCTTCAATGTCAGCAGCTAGATCTTTAATTCGGCGTGCCACAGTACTGTTTGAGAGTTGTACCGCATCTATTTTTTTACTATACTGTTCATCAAACATCCGCATCACTACATCTTTTGCACAAGGTTTGATAAGCAATTCTCCAATAGTATGAGCCTCTCCACTCAGGGCTATGTGGTAACTTACATTGTATGATGCTTCTGTAGCACTTTCATTATCTGTATTGACAGTCTTAGGTGCTGGAGGTTTATTGTTTTCAGGTGAATCAAGATACTGCTTGAAAAAGCTGATGTCTTTGTCTTTATATGCAATATGTTTAGTTTCTAAATGTCTTCGAAGCTTACTAGGAGCTAAAGAGCTATTGGATAAAATCTTCTTACATAATATGCACTGAGCATTAGGTACATCTCGATTTCCAAAGTGAGTAAATCCAAAGGACAAATAACTTTCATCATATTTTCTTCTTTTTATTTTCTTACTAAATGTTCCTATTTTATTGGAATTGGACGTGAAATTGACCCTGGAAAGCTCACCTTCTGGTTTTATAGAAACTGAAGACTGCAATGGTTCATCTTCACTTTGTACTACTCCAAACTTTGAACTGTCTGATTCAGAAACAATTTGGTAACAAAATGATTCTGCTTCTTGTTTAAGACTTCCTTGTTTCAGCAAAAGATCCATGGGTAACGAGTTTGTGGTACAAAATGTGGTTAATTTAGACTTAACACCGAGTATCACAAATGTTTTGAAATTGTAAAACAAGAAACAAAGATGAGAGAAGATATATAGCAACACATCAGTTAATTCATAAATGCTGCCTATGCATCACTTTGAAGATGGAACATCACTTGTTCTTTTATCAGGTGATCTCTCATTCGACTTCTGGTACTCTCAGGTATGGCACACCTTTCTTAAAGGCAGATTATCACATAAAAATAAAAACTACAGAAATGAGTTTAGTAGTCAAGCTTACATTCAAATCAACTTATATTAAAACTATAAAGAAAATTATTGCTAGTATTATTTTTTTCTCTCAAAACACTCAGAGAATATTAACATACTAAAAATAACTGGGAACTATTAGGCTACGAAATAAGAATGAGTTCATATGTTATTTATTTATTTATTTATTTATTTATTTATTTATTATGTACACAGCGGAGGGCACCAGATCTCATTACAGATGGTTGTGAGCCACCATGTGGGTACTGGGAATTGAACTTAGGAACTCTGGAAGAGCTGTCAGTGCTCTTAACCTCTGGGCCATCTCTCCAGCCCCTCATATGTACATTTTTAAAGAAGAGCTCTTTAGAAACATCTTTAGGAATCCTTCCATGGCAAGGGTTGGTAAACACTTAAGACCATACAGTAAAAATGCTTGCTTTGTGGGTCATACAGGCTCTGTTGCAACTATTCAACTCTGTAGTTATAACACAACAGATTAAAGAATGGGTGGGTGTTCCAATAAAACTTTAAGTACCAAAACAGACTGTGTGGCCTATAATTTACCAACCTTATCTCATAGTAGATAGTATCTTAGAATTGCTTTTATCTTTCTGATAACCACTGCCATTAGATGCATTAAATGTTGATAGTATTATGTATCAGAAGTCTCCCTTCAGGTCTGCAACAATTCTAATAAGCTATATTGAAAACACAGTGTTCCAGGACTGAGAATTCTAGTGTATCCTAAGCATTATGTATTTACAATGAAGAATAAACTACAAGCCAAAAAGTAGATACTACTTCTCTAGACTTAAAAGTACATATCTATTTACATTATCTTAAAGACTTTTTTTTAAAGTAATGCACATTGTTACTAATTACTGACTACTGTTGTGTTAGAGGTAATAATCAAAATCTTAAGAAAATATAAACTTACTTTAATAGGTTTTTCTCTCGTGTAATAAAAGAAACACAAAAGTAATGTGACCATTTAATGAATACTGTTTTCTAGTTTTAAACTAAATTTGTAAGCTATACAGATTGATCCCATTGATTTTAAACTTCATGTGGTTACAAATTAAGCTCTCTCTCTTCCTTTTAGACCCTCAAATCAAATGGTTTTCCTGTTAATAGCTAGTAGGTAAGATACCTGAACAATGAACACTTCTTTCTGCAATCACTTTCTCCAACTTGATAGCTTGAAATGCAGATTCTTCAAAAGAATAAAATTAAAGGATAGGGTGGGAATGGGAGTAACCAGAAGCCTAGAATAAGAAAGGTTAAAATTAGGCACTGTGACAATCAGAACTATAAACTTCCACTATGAACATTCATCATATTTTAAATAGTCAACACAAACGATTCTTCACTGCAGTGCAGCTCTTGGATATAAACAGACTGTGCCTACCAGGTAGCTAACATGCTAATATTTTCATTTTACTTACTATTCCTGCAGTTTCCCTGCTTTGAAATGCTTCTTTACCCACTGACAACACAGAAACATTTAGGGGGAAAAACAAACAAAACTAAGCCTATTTTTAAGAAGTACAGCCCCATTTCAATATCTCTAAAACTAAGCACTGAATCTAAAATGAAATCATACAGGCAAGTGTTACATGACATATACCATTACGATAACCAAATTCTAACCCCAATCTGACAACTAATGCTCACTGAGTGAGTGTTTATTACTTTCTGTGAGCTGTTAGGATCTGTGCTGAATTCCTCACAAAGGTTAATTCATCCAATTGTCAAAAACCTGGGAATGTTAATGACTGTACTTTAGAGAAAGACAGAGTTGTTACCTGCTAGGTTAATACATTTTGTTAGTGAAGAATCAAGAACTGAGCCCCAGAAGTTTGACTGTACAGCCCATGTGCTTCACCATTACTTGTGAGTTTTCCTCTACTTCATCAAGCACCACAACCATCTGGTACTAAGAGTTTGTGTGTGCAGAAACAGATTACCAGCATGTTGCAACTGCCAGAGGCGGCAATCTTAAACTGGGCAGCAGTTATAAAATCCATTCCTTAGCAGTGGCCTCTCTTTTCAGCCTTGATTTGAATTTGGCAAACATAAAACAAAAAAACCGAAAACAAAACAAAAACATTTCATGGAACCAATAGTTCACCATAAAATTCGGACCCCTCCTCCCCTTGTTGTCAAGTGGGCAGAGAACAAGTAGCTTCCTTTTCTTAAAGCAGCACCTCATGCCTTTCTCTTCAGAGGTACATCCCGCCAACTCTTGAGGACAAATAACCTGTGCTCCTAAGTTTCCAGTTCACTCCCTTTGGACTGAACTGAGAGGTAAGCAGTCCTTTCACCCTTTGCCTTCGCCGTGGGGCTGCTGTCCTAGGTGTGAACAGTGTCTCCTTGAGGGGCGGGAGCACAGGCCAATCACGAAGGCTAGGAAGCAGGAGGGGCCAGGCATCTAGGCCGGGACCTACAAGCTTTTCGACCCAGTCACCTTGCCCCGCGGCCAGGGACAGCCATCCCTCAGTGACTTGTCGGGAGGTCACAGGTGTGCGCGGCCCGCAGACCGCCACGCCCCCGGAGGCTCGCGTCCCGTCGCAGCCCACTCCTGCCAGAGGATGTCTCTCGCCCCAGGATGTCACCTGTGCGGTCGACGTGAAGTCGTGTCAACACCCGACCCCTTTCCATTTCATCAGCCTACTGTCTCGGCCGCGGCTGGGCTGCAGCGCGGCGCCACGGTCCCCAGCCCAGCACGAGACCGCCATCTTAGACAGCAGGCTAGCGGCCATTTCAGAGCGGCCCACTCGCCGGCGGCTCTGCTCCTCACCTTCAGCGAGGCCAGAGCCGGGTCTAGAGCCAGTCGTCGCGGACTGGAGGGAGGAGGGAGGGATGAAAAACAAAACAGAGGGGGGGAGGATGCGGGACGGGGTGATGCTGTCAGCTCGGGGATACCGCCTAGGGCACCTCTAAGGGTTCCGATTCCCGGCTAGCGCCGTGCTGGGCCTGGAAACCCTTTGAGTGCTCCGCGGCGGCTAGACGCTACGGTCTGCGGGAGCGACTTCGCCGCCGTCCAATCAGCGCCAGAGCTTATCCCTGCCACCAATCCGCGCTGAGCAGTAAGGCGGGACTAAGGGCCCAGGCTTGGTTGAGGCGCGGAGTGGGCTGCTAGCGGCTGAGCGGAGTCCGGGAGAGCCCGGCTGTAGTATGCGGAGCCATTGTTCTCCGAGTCCCGGTCCGCCGTGGTTGGCTCAGCGCTGGTTCAGGAGCGGGTTCCCGGGCTTCGCCAATTCCACCTGGGTGATGCCGTCAGATCGGCGGAGGCCCAGGGCGGCATTCCCCTCGGCTCAGGGGTCCTGCGCGGGTGGCGCTGAGAGGTGTGGATCGGGAACTCGCGAGCCTGAGCTGTTGGATCTCAGCAACTTCTCCAAGGCCCTACCTACGCCGTGACCCGGACACGCAGTACCAGGAAGCGGGGAGGAAAACTCGCTTTCTCCACTGTGTATCATTCTTGACCGTGGCAGTCAGGGGTTCAGGCCCTGACAAGGTCAGGTCTCCCAGGTGGCCAAGGTGTGGAACGAAAGAGAAAGTTCCTAGACCTCTTCTTTTTCTGAGGTGCCCCTCACAGTTACCAGCTTGTTCCTGAACCCTCCGTTGGTGGGCTGCAACGTTTGGATGTTTTAAGCCATCCATCTTCGTCCTCCCTTTTCCCCAAAAGGGCATGGTTAGGATTGAGGCTGTGTGCGCTCTTCACTTTGGTATCGTGTGGCATCCCAGTAGACCCGAAGGCATTCCCTAGATTGACACCTTGAAATAGATAATACTTTGTGTGTGAAAGTACAAGTAGTACTAGATAGTGGGTCCCATTATTTACAAAATTTTGGCCTTGTGAGACTTCACAGAAATGGCTGAAGGTTGGATTGTTTCAAACCCTGCACCAACGACAGAAAATTCTCAATTTGGAGTTAACACCAAGGACATCTGTTTTTCTTAAACATGCTCGTTCAACTTGTGATCAAGCATCTTCATATGGCGAAAGAAGCCTAACTCTTAATAATCGTTTTCAGGACTGAGTGAAGTTGTCTAGCTTCAGTATAATTTTGGAATAATATTTTACATTTACATAATATGCTTCTAATCTAAACTTCACATACCTGATTTGTATCTTTGTAAACTGGAAAAAACTCAAAATTAGAACAATGGGAAGAATATTTAATCAATTAAACATGTTAATAAACAAGATTCTATAATGTTCTTAAAACATACAGATGGTTTTCTGTCATTGCTTTGTCAAATTATTATAAAACGTTGGTTACGAGATAAATACAAGCAGTATATGACTCAGCCAATAATGATAATAGCTAATATTTATTGAATATGCTAAAGGAGCCAGAGGCTGTTTTATGTACTTTTAAATATATTAACTCTTTCTCGTCAGAAGTCTATGATCAGATCTTATTTACAGGGAAGGACATTGAGCATAGAGAAATAAATTTTGCAAATTTGTCCAAGTAATAGACTGTGTTAGGTTCAATTTTAGTTGTGGGAATCACAAATTATGCTTGTGGGCATGTATGCATTCATGCAAAGTTAATTTATATTAGAAGACTTGTAAGGTTACAGTAATATATCAAGTAAGAAAGTGGAGCCTCACTTTTAAAAAGGAACTGAAAGCTGGTGTGTTGGCACATATTTGAAATCCCAGCACTGAGAAGGCCGAGGAAAGAAGATTCTCACCAAGACTGAGAAGTGTCAGGGTTACAAAGCAAGACCTTGTTTCGAAAATGTGGAGGGAGGGGTAGGAAGATAATTCAGTAAGGTGCTTGTAGGAAAGGGCTAGTGTGAACATCTGAGTTTAGTACCCAGCACCAATTTAAGAAGCGAGGCATAGTGACACATTTGTAATCTCAGAGCTGGGGAAGGCAGATTCCTGAGGCTTTCTGACCTGGCAGTCTAACCTAATTGGCAAGCTCAAGCCCCCAGTGTCTTTTATTTACTTGTTTGTTTATTTATTTATTAGCGAAGGCTGGCCTTGAACTCACAGAGATCTGCGTGGCTCTGCCTCCCAAGTGCTGGGATTAAAGGTGTGCACCACCACGGCCCTGGTTTAATTTTTTATAGAGAGATGAAGAGAAGATATGAAAGAAGAGAGAAAGAGGGGTCGAGGGGTGCACATGAGGGAGAGACAGAGAAAGATGGGCAGAGTTCTTCCTTAAGGAGAGGCTTCTACCTCAGGATGCAGGGCGGGCTCCAAGGGGCAGGATCAGAATATTAGCAATGTCTGACTGCAGGCCAGAAGAAGGCACTAGATCTCATTACAGATGGTTGTGATCCGCCATATGGGTGCTGGGAATTGAGCTCAGGTCCTCTGGAAGAACAGCCAGTGCTCTTAACCACTGAGCCATCTCTCCAGCCCTAAGATCCCAATGTTTTAAGAAAGAAGATGGGAGGACTGGAGAAATGGTTCAGAGGTTCGGAGCACTTGTTGCTTCTGCAGATGACCTGGGATTGATCGCCAGCATCCATCTGGTGGCTCAGTTCCAGGGAATCCAACAGGCACACATGTGGTGCACATACACACATGCAGGCAAAGCACTCATACACATAAAGTAAAAGAAACTTTAAAAAACAAAAAGCAAACCAAAATTCCAGAGAAGAAAAGAAACAAGATGGCTCTGGAAGAACAATATCTGAGTTTAATCTCCTAGATGTACACATACACCCACACCCACACACAGACAAAAAAACCCTGTGATCTGGGCTCAAGTAAAATCATCACCAAAACAATGACAAGAACTTGGTTCCTGTAGGAAGTCTGAGATGGCAATTCTGTTGATCTTGGTTGTGATTAGATTGCACTGCAGGTAAATTCTCCAGAAGAGATGATGAGCCAAGAAGCTTTGAATCCAGTATTGTAGGTCAGTGTCTCATTCTGGGCCTGATGATGCCTATCTCTCTCAGCTAATAGATGCCCTGAAAGGGCATGCCTGCTACCCAGATAGATCCTGAAAGAGTTGACAGCTAGAGACCATCTTTCCCAAACAATGCAGTGTGTCCTTTCTTGAAGAAAGACTGGCGTGCTGCACCTCCATTTCTATCAGAACCTGTAACACTTGTTTTTGTTTGAAACAGAGTTTCTCTGTGTAATAGCCCTAGCTGTCCTGGAACTTGGTTTGTAGACCAGGCTGGCCTTGAACTCACAGAGAACCACCTACCTGTGCCTCCCAACTGCTGGGATTAAAGGTGGCATGCACCACCACTGTCCAGTTTCAGAATCTGAAACATTTAACAGTGATAATACAGTTTCATTATTTCTATGAACATTATCATTAGCATTATGCTTTCTCAGTTTTTGACATCTATGAAAATTGGTAAGTAAAGGCTACTTGTGTAGTGACCACATGTATAAGATTGGTTTATTGGTATTAGATTTGCCAAAGTTATAGAAATGCTCATAAAGAGTTCACTGACTAAGATATTACTACATTTGTAATCATAGTTTCAGATGTCTAAGGAAACTTAATTAGTTGAATATATAAATAACATTAAATATTTAAGAAATATTTAGTTAAGCTTGTGAATTAGATCATAGCAAAGTATAAGTGGAAGTGTCCGTATTTTATGATTATGAAATTTAAAAACATATAGTATTTATATGTTAAACTTAAAGACCTAAGAAGTAACCATTACATAAAGTTTAACATATTCTGACTGTATTAATGACCAAACAAATCATGTCAAATTATTATTAGGTATTTAAGTAGCTTATATTCCCTCCAGAGACTTGCACTATTTCTCTCATATTCATTTATATGTATTCACCCATACACATAAGTGGTAAGTAAGTAAAATATTTAAAAATTTTATATTCTTTTAAAACCCTACACTGGTAAACTTGGTACACATCAGTCTTTCTTGACTCATTTTACATCTCCTACAGATATAGGCATCAAGTTGTTACTTTCCATTAGTGTTTTTGTTGTTAGTTTTTAATTTTATGTGTGTGGGTGTTTTGCCTGCATGTATGTCTGTGTACCACTCTCATGCTGTTAGACCCCCAAATCTTGGGTCTCAAGTGGGTGCCCCAAGAACCCAGACTCCGGTCCAGTTGATGCAATAACAAGAGGTGTTTATTGATGCGACTGTACAGTGTGGCAAACTCTGCTCCAAAGAGCAAGAGTCGCGTCTATTGCAATCACATGGGCACTTTTAAAGGAAAAACCCACAAAAGCCATAAGATTACAATTTCCATACAACTTCGTTTCACAAGATCATGGTCTGATTACAGAGTGGGTACAGTCACGTCTGCATGTACATTCTTCCCAAAACCTCAAGGGGA